TCACAGCATTTTCCAGAGTCCCTCTCAGCTCTGGCAGCAGTGTGAGGCAAACGGAGCCCAGGACGGCCGACGCAACTAAAGATCTGCAGCGATTGGCTCCTGCAGCATCAGTGATGTGTAAGCTGCCTCTACAAACACTCCGAGGCTGTAAGTGGCCTCCAGAGCGAGTGCGATGATCCACCTTCGCTGCGTGAAGCTTGTTTAAAAGCTTCTGCAAAGCTCTTTTTCATTTGGAGCAATTCTTCCCCAGAATCCCAGCGTATGTAGCTGCAGCAGGTGACGCTGCTTTATGCCCACATGTGGACAGCTGCGTGTGAAACCCCGGGGTTAATGGCTTTAGCAGGCTGTGATTGGGCCTGATGGCTTTCTGCAGCCATAATGGCAGCTCTATTAAGTGTTTACTGTGAGCAATTCCACATGTCAGCTGGAGTCGAGCAGCCAGAGAAGGCCGAGGAGCTGCGAGTCCCAGGATGGCTGGAAAGGGAGGACGAGGGGTCAGATGGCTGCTGAGGCGAAGAGGGGGAAGTGTGCAGACGTCGTCGTTCCTGAGCAGAGGTTTGGGATTAGCAATCTGAACCCGTTTTCCTCCTGAGGAAGTTTAAAGTCCTCAAATCCAGCTAGATGGAGGACCGCCGTCTTTTCTCCAGCAGCCCTCTCTTCTCCGCCTCGCGTCCACCTTCTGTTTCTGCCGCCGGAAGTGGGTGGTGAAGCGACCGCCTTTAGGTTTGCTCCGGGAATCTCCTTCTCAGCCTCTGGCTGCGTCTGCTCTCTGTGGCAGGGATTAAACCTAAACTCAGAAGATTAAAAAAATTCAGCTTGTGGAATTATTAATCATCCATGAATTTGCTGAACCCCCAAATACTCGTGCTCCCTCTGCTTGTTTTCATTCAGTTTGCTTGTTTTTTAATCTGAAGTACATATTTTAATGAAAGGAATGTAGTGAATAAATGAGATTATGAGTTTTATTTTATTATCTCAGACAACGGCTGAAGAGTTTAATACATTTTTATCACGTTTGCCTTTCCTGCTACTGTTGTTAAGAATAGTTTTTTACTTTGTGTGGTTTGAAAGGTCAACTTTAATGAAAAGCATTTTTAATTATTACTCAGCTGTTCATGCAGGCTGAACATGAAAATAGTCTCCTACACCCACCTCCTGCCTTAGCTTCAGATAAACCTGACCGATGCGTGAGTCTCAGGTAGACGCGTGGCGTTCTGCTGCAGGAGCGTCGAGCTTTAACGCAGCAGAGGTCTGTTTCTTATCCACAATAACATAAAAGCATCGTCTCACATTTCCTCACAAACCGATGAAATAATGCGACGACTCATAAAAACACGACATTTATAAAATAAACTAACAAAAACATTTGAAGTCATGATTTTTTAGGATTAAAGCAGCGATTTCCACCCGTTATTTTAACTCCTATTTATGAATAAGCTAATATTTTTGAGAGAATACAAACACTGAAAGATGTCAGATATTTTTTAATTCTCCATTTTTTAAATCGAATGATTTGTTGAAGTTTGTTCACCAACTTGCAGCGAGTTGATGAAGGACTCCCGCATTAGCCAGGTGGTTAGATCCTGCTGTTTCCAGCTTCACCGGCTATCAAGTCCATCCTGACTAGACGCGACCTGCACACAGTGATCCATGCATTTATGATCTCTCTCTTGGATGGTGCAAATTCCCTTTTTTATGGATCCACATCTCCCTCGGTTGTGCGCCTACAGCTGGTGCAGAATGCGGCGGCCCGCCTTTAGACGGACACCAGACAGAGGGAGCACATTACTCCTGTTCTGACCCAGCTGCACTGGCTCCCGGAGCGCTACCGCATCCAGTTTAACATTTTACTTCTTGTTTTTAGGTCCCTCTGTCTTTATGTGCCTCTGTACTTGACTCAGCCGGTTCAGCTTTACGTACCACCTGGTCGAGTTCTTCGATCAGCAGACCGCCGCCTGTTACAGGTCCCAAGTGATCGGGCGAGGGCGTGAGGAGAATGAGCGTTCTCAATCCGTGCGCCTCATCTCTGGAACCAACTCCCCCCCCAGCAGTGAGAATGCCCCCCCTCCCCTCTCTCTTTGATTTTAAATCACGCCTGAAGGCTCACTTTTATTCCTTGGCTGTTACTTCAGCCTAGTTAGCATTTTACAATGTTTTTGTTTTATTTTTACTACTTCTTCCCGTGTGTTGATTTTCATGCTCTTTTACTGCGCAGCTCTTGGGTCGGCCTCGGCCGTGTAGAAATGCGCTTTATAAATAAACTGGAATGGAAGTAGAAAACGAAGCAACACAGTATTTATATAAAAACGTGAGTGTTTCGTCATTTATTAGTTCATTGCAATAAAGTCTTTATTTTCCATTTCCAAACATCATCTATTTGTTCTGCTCTCTCTAAGTTTGAACTCTGCTCTTTGGGCGTTCCCTCGTGTACGTCGGAGAATGATCCGGGTTTAGACCATCATACGGGGTCGGGTCGGGGTCTGAGCTGCAGCCTGGTGTGTGATGGGGGGGGGGGGGATCCTGTGGCAATGTGAACAGGAAGGTGTGAGTCTGAACCTCTGAGCTGTTTGTCAGTCAGCTAATGAAGCGGGGCAATCCCGTACGACCCCCAGAGAGAATGAGAAGGGGAAGGAGTCGAGGTAACGGGTGGGGCGAGGCACGGGAGCCTAAACGTGGGAATATCACTGTGAGGCCAAAGCTCTTCTGTTATCACCTCAGGCCCAGACGAATAAACCATTCCCCTAATATTTCACTTTGCTTTATTCCCCGCTACAATAAAAACACGCAGCATATTATTTATTACATTTCCTGGTTAAAATCAGCACAGGCCACATCACTCAGCTCCTGCCGTAAACATTTTCTCTGGCTGCCGGAGGAGCAGAGCGGCGTTCCCAGCTCCCGTCGTCATGGCCATCCAGCTTACTGTGGGCTCCGCATTCATCAGTGTGGTTTGTAGGAGCAGAGATTTGAGCTCGCTTCATTACGAGTTCAAATAATCAGCCAGTCAGACGATGAAGCAGGATTAACGCGTTTGATGTTTCAGCTTTTCCACTGATAATTAATGCTGTTCGCGCGGAGCATTGACAAGCTGGAACGTCGGAAACGGGAGAAGGACTTCCATTAAATTCATCTTCTGTTGCAACAGTGTCAGCCACCTTTCTAATTTATCCTTTAACCTCAAAATAAACGACAATATTTTGGGTCATAACTTGAAAATTTAGGATTTCCTGATGAATCACAAAATATTCAAAACACACATGAAACTTCTTCTTTGTCGACGTCCGAGCTAACGGTTTGGACCAGAGACATCACCCTCATGAGCTCTCCAGGAAGTTCTGGGTCTGGACCTCCTCCCAGTGAGACCCCTCCAGAGGGAGGTGACCAGGAGGCGTCCTGGCCTGGGCCACCTCAAATTTGGAAACATGTGCAGGATGAGAAAAGTGACTAAACTGTTGCGGACTCCTCTTACACACCAAACAGCTGATGAGAGCGTAAAGAAACGGCTGGACGTAGAGCAGTAAACACGGATGCTGATGGCAGCACAGCACCATCTGCACGGCCCGTTCTCCCGTCACTCTTAAGGTTTAGGTTCTGTGGTGGTGTGAGAAGTCTGTTTAGTTCATCAGAGGAGCGGGGGGGATGTCAGAGGTCAGACTCAGGGGAATCATCAGCATCGAGCAGTCAGATGACCCAGAACGATCCAGAGAGAGGACGTCTTCCCCTCCCTGAGGAAGTTCATTCCTGTGTGTGTGTGTGTGTGTGTGTGTGTGTGTGTGTGTGTGTGTGTGTGTGTGTGTGTGTGTGTGTGTGTGTGTGTGTGTGTGTGCGCATGTGCGTGCGTATGTATGTGTGTGGGTGTGTGTGTGCGTGCGTATGTGTGTGTGTGTGTGTGCGTGCATGTGTGTGCGAGTGCATGCATGTGCGTGTGTATGCATGCGCATGCGTGTGTATGCGTGCGCATGCGTGTGTGTGTGTGTGCGAGTGTGTGCATAAGTGTGTATGCGTGCGCATGCGTGTGTATGTGTGCGCATGCGTGTGTGTGTGTGCGAGTGCATGCATGTGCGAGTGTGTGTGCGCATGCGTGTGTGTGTGTGCGAGTGCATGCATGTGCAAGTGTGCGAGTGCATGCATGAGCGAGTGTTTGTGTGTGTGTGTGTGCATGCGAGTTTGTGTGTGCGTGTATGTGCGAGTGCATGCATGTGTGTGTGCGTGCGTGTGTGTGCACATGCGTGCTTGCGTGTGTGTGTGTGGGTGGGTGGGTGCGCGTGCCTGTGTGCGAGTGCATACATGTGCGTGCACGAGTGTGTGTCTGTGCGTGTGCGTGCATGAGCATCAGCAGCAGACGCTGATCCATCCGTGTGGTTGTTGGGTCTAGAGGCTGGTGTCACTGATGCGTGTGTTTCTGAACATGCTAACACACTCGTAGGAGTTAAAAGCTTCACGCGTTTCTATTTCTGCCTCCTTTGATTTTAGAAACGTCGGCGTCTGTCTGCCTGTCTCACAGTCTCTGGTGTCTCTCTTCAGATCATGCTGGATGTCCCAGAGGTCATCGGGTCTGATCTGCTGGTTCTGTTTCATCATAAATACTGAGGAACCATGCAGGGCTGTTTATTATGGGATATTAGCTGGAATCTATTCATTTGTATCCATACAGAAACACTTTTTCTCAGTTTTACAGTTTTTAAGGCTGTTTACTCTTTAGATGCAACACTGCTCGCATGCACGAGTTCTCGTGGCCACGTGTACATTTTTGTGTGTGGCAGCAGCGTTCAGTAGGCCTGTGGGAGCACTCTGTCCTCCTTTCCCACAGTATGTGTCCCATGAGTCCCCACCATGACGTCAGAACAGAGGTACGAGCTAATGCCCCGCTCAGAGGTCACAGGTTCACTTCCTGTCTGTCAGGACCGAGCTGGGCAGAGTCCAGAGCGGAGCACCAACGTGTCTGTATGATCTCTCTGTGGTTTGACCTCCCTGTCTCCCTGTCTCTGTGTCTCTTACAGGCGATGTGGATGATGCTGCAACAGGAGGAGCCAGAGGATTTAGTCATCGCTACAGGGGAGGTGCATAGTGTGAGGGAGTTTGTGGAGAAGGCCTTCAGACACGTGGGAAAGACCATAGTGTGAGTGAACCTAAAAGGGTTTTTAAAAAACAGGGTCCTTAAAAAGTCTTAAATTAGCTTTTCCAAATTTAAGGCCTTAAAAATCCTCAAAAATGACAAATGATCCTCAAAGGTCCTAAATTACCAAAGACCCAATAAACAAGATTATTTTATTTCAATAAAATTTTTGTTAATTTCTAGTTAGTGTTCAGCGTTTTTTGTGTACGATGTTGGCGTAAGCGGAACCGTACACATTCAGCTGGTTGTGAAAGGGGGCTATTTTTAGATGAGCACATTAGCTGGTTAAGCTAGTGGGAGCTTGCACCATGGGGACGTGCAAGTTTAATGGTAACTGGATGGCTAATCCCACGTTCGCGACGTGGTTAGCACCGGTTCCAGGCAATAGCTGGAAATTATAGCAGAAATTTAATTAAAAAAATAGCTTAAATTTGGTCAAAATGGCCTTAAAAAGGTCTTCAAAAGTCTTAAATTTGGCTCCCTTAAACCTGCAGATACCCTGAAAAAGGGTTTTCATCTAAATAACACACACACAAGGTCCGAAATTAACACTCGCTACTCGCCAAATGCGAGCAAATTGCTCCATTTGGCGAGTAAATTTTTGAGCTCTACCTGCCACATGGCGAGTAAATGTTTGCACCAAATTAGTTATGTTTATCAGTCATCTTCCATGGATTTCTGATACTCCTCCCGCCTGCATGCAACGTACACAAACGTACGCGAAACGTGAGCGCCGCATCCAACGTCATTTCCACCTATCCCATTCAATCAGTTCATCAAGTTAGCAGTTAGCTTCGTGTTAAAACTAGCGGTGAAATGTGGCGGTTTTTAACTGGAGTCAGCCAGCCTTCCAAAAGAAAACTCGTCGAACTGGAAGAAAAACCACCAGGACCAGTGGCAACCAGAAGATTTTGTGAAAAGTGGCGAACTGGAGGTGGCGGAGTCGTGAGACAATGGCTACATTATGATGGCCACGTAGCGTTGCTGCCTTTCACAGACAACTGGCCCTTGGCATTCTTCAAATATCCAAAAAATGCCCGTACTTCCCACTTTGTCTTCTTTGAGGGATAATAAATGTCCTGAGCGCTGCCGTCTCCTCCTTTGGCCATTATTTCAGCTTTAGCTTCCAGCAAGTTTTGGTCGTAAACAACAAAGTGCGCATGTGCCGCCGGCAACTTCAGCAGATGATACGGTGGCTTGTAAGGGTCACCGCGCCTACACCGCAGCCACGGTAATCCACCGAGATAATGTTTTAAAAACAAGACGGTTATTATTATTGTCAACTTTTTAACCGGGGTTTACCGCTACACCGGTTACCGTGACAACCCTAGCCCTGACACACTTTCAGATATTCTCATGGTGCAGCTGTGTTCTCCAGAGATCAAGGACTAGGACCCAAATGAGGCTGTAATGCTTTGGCACAAAGACGGTGTCAGAAGCAGGAGGCCAGACTTCCTGGACAGAGAAAACAAGGAGTCTGACTAGATTTCAATGAAAGAGTTCATAAAAACATCTCTAAAAATAAATAAATAAATGGTAAAAATGACAAAAGAGTTGTTTTTCTTATTAATTGATGTTTTAATGATTTTGTCACTCTGTTTGGGATCAACATAATATAGAATAACATGCTTTAGGTAGATCTAAATCATTTAGGATTTTGGCCGGTAAAAAATATGCTTGGCTGGTAGATTTTCATCATCTACCAGCCAACTTGGCCGGTGAGTAAAAAAATGTATTTCGGACCCTGCACACACACACACACACACACTCGCACACAGACACACACTTAACCACAGTAACGGTTGGAAGCATGCCTGGCTCGTACGCGGCGCTGTAAAGGTGTGAAGTTTTAGCTCAGATAAACAAGGATGAAGATGTTACTGTTAATACCGCATGGGGTCAAAGGCGAGGCCTGTGATGACATCACTTTGGTGATCTAGACTAAAGCACAAGGGTGACAAGTCAGTGTTTGTCCTCTGTTTTTGCATAAATGTAAAACTACAACTATAAAATATTCAGCGTACAAACACCAGACTCGTCCCGCCGTCAGAACCTCGAGTCTGAACATAAACGCCTCTCAGTCCCCGTCCCCTGTCCACCGCCTCCTGTCTTCATCATGATGTGTTCCTGGCCGTTCCCGCTGCCTGTTGTCTCGTCTCAGAACAAAAACAACAAAAGGAAGGTGTTGTGTGCAGGAGCTTTGGGGAAACGAGTAGAAAATGAAGGATCTTCAACAACAGTGTGAGAAAAATCTGTTTTTGTTTTCTCAGGTGGGAGGGAAAAGATGAAAAGGAGATCGGCCGCTGCAAAGAGACGGGGGTGGTGCACGTGAAGGTGGACCCAAAATTCTTCCGTCCAACTGAAGTGGTGAGTCCGGTTTCCCTCTGGATTTTTATAAGTCTACAAAAGCGTCTTCTAAGAAAATGACACAAACACGGAGTATCCCCATTTCATCATTTATCCTCCGACTAAACTCTCCTGGGAACCGTTGATCTGGTTTTCACATCAATTGTGAAAAATTTTAATCCATTCCTTCATCCAATGCAGATTCAACACAAACTCCTCGTGTTAAGTCGTTAAAAAGTCACGTAGCATAACATCTCCAAACCATAATACAACCACCTCCGTGTTCCAGAAAGTTCCAGCAGTAGAATAAAGCATGACCATTATCAGTCAAACCAAACATGATGTCGTGGTTCCTTCCAAGATAGGACCGGATTCACCGATATCTCCCATTAGGTACTTGAACAGTGCTCAATAAAAGGTGAGAGAAGTCAAACACCCTCACGATGGCTAAAGCGCAGATTTTATTTAAAGGTGTGGTTCACTGAGGAACTATGTTTTAATGATTATTTCTTATTCTAACGGGTCATTCAGAGTGTGTCATGCACGCTGAACATGAAAATAGTCTCCTACACCTATCTCCTGCATTAGCTTCTAATAGAAAACAGACGGTGAAACTCAAGGATTAGAAAATCCTGACAGATCTACGTCACCCTGTCACTAACATTCATGGACTCGCCCATCTGGACTCACGACGGGGAAGGCTGTTGTTGGTTTAGCGTCCAGGAAACAGCAGAGAATATCTCTGCTAATAGACGCTAACTGTTAGCATTAGCATCTCCAGCACACAGCAGAACTCCTCCAGGCTTGTGTTATTTTTGAGATTAAACATCAACGTTGCAGAACAAAGAGAGTCAGTGGTAGAGTCGTGTTGCTGTCAGCCAATCAGAACAGAGATGTCTGAATATCTGGAAAAATGACTCCAGATCCTGCCATCTGAAGCTCCCCTCTGCTCTAGCTCACTACTAGTTCCTGAAACAGGAGCGCCAGAGCTTTTTTCCCCCAGAGTACGACTTACAATGTATTCATTTCAGTAGAAATGTACTAGAGACCACTGCTGGTGTACCGAAATGAGAGAACCACACCTTTAATCCAAAATGACCTCAAACCTCATATTGTTTACTTGTCCCTTGTTGTTATGAACACCTGCTTCTACCAACGATTAGGGTTTTTCTGGCCGTTATACTTTAGAAAATGTCAGAATTCACATCTGTGGTTTTGCATTTATTTTGTCACTAAACTAAAAATCTTTTTTAGCTGAAGCACAGTTCTTAGTTTTTCTTGATCAGTTTTCTGCCCAAACCACATAATCCATTCAGCCCAATAGAAAACACGTTTACACGTTTCCTTTTGTATGTACTTGACCTTAACTCACATGTTGCGGGGTTTTTTTCTGCATGTATCTCATTGCCGGCTATTGTGTCTGAGACTACACACTTATCAGCCGTAAAGGGTGCAGTTGACAGCCTGGGGCTGCTTATTGTGTGCCTTTAAACCGCTGGAAACCTGCCAGCCCACTCTTCTAGAGTAATGCTGGCTGTTTCCTGTCTGTGGATGCAGATTGGGAGCACATATTCGCACAAACAGGCTAAAATGTTGCTGTAGAGGTTAAAAAAGTACCTTTAGAGTTCCCTTGTCCATGTATAAAGAGTCTAAATGAGAAGGACCCATGCATCTCTGATTTTGCCTCTCATGGCTGCAGCTACTCCCTGAGCACGGTTTAGAGTTACCCCAGGGTGTTGTAGTGCCCGTCTCAAGCGGTTTGTCCTGCTGAGATTAGAGCTGAGTGACAGCAGAGGATTAGTGAGGAGGCCCCGCTGACGGACTGCTAAGGGTGTCGGGCAGCGCTGGTCACACACCTGGAGTCTGTGTTCTTTGTTCATGTCAGCTCCTTCGTCCCGTGTCCCAACCCTAGGTCCTCGCTCCAGAGAGCGATCGAGTCGGCACCAAACGCTTTGGTGTCATTCTTTTATTTTTCATGGATCATAATTAATGTGAGACGGTGAACATTCCAGAAAAGACTCAACAAGTTCAAGCTGAAGTTAGCTTGTTTGTTTCAAAATGGCTGCGAGGCTGGTTTTTACCCATAAAGCTACAGATGGTCTCTCACAGAGCCCGGTCAAAGTGTCAACAGCACCAAGAGACACCAGCGTGGGCCACAAATACTAATGTGGGGGGGTTGGATCATCCCCACATGACACCAGAGCAGGATTCGGGCATCTCAGACCCAGTTAAAGTCTGTTTTCTTAAAAGGTTTTCGGCTAAAAAGTTGTCAAATTGTCACATTTTTAAGTGAACGAGGTCAAAGGTTACAGAGATAACGGGTCGGGATGGTTCAGCTACAGAGGCCAACTTCTCTGCTCCGTCTCTTTGTCTCTGGATTTCTAGGAGCTAAAGAGACTGAAAGAGTGTTTAACCTTTGACCCCTTCAGACAGGAAGCAAGTGACACTGGGCTCAAAGCTCGTTATTGTGGCTCACTTCAAGTGGAAGTACCTGTCTTGGGGTGTGTGTCCTGAGTGCACAGCTGACTCTTCCACAGCTGAGAAAGTGTGTGTGTGTGTGTGTTGTGGGAGGAGTGTTACCTCAGGCTGCATGCTAATACACGTGTAATTCATCATTATCTCTGTCAGTGTTTGTGCTCCACGACCCCGGGGATCGCAACCAGCCAAGGTCGCTGGGGGGGGGGGGGGGGGAGACAAACACTGCAGGTGTGCCCCACATGTGGGAATGTGCCCACTTGTCTGTATTTGTCTGGCCCACAAGGCCCCGGGTCGGCTGAGGTGACTGCGAGTTCCTCCGCTTCACGGAAGCCGACACCTGAGAGGATGCATGTAAAGTTAAAATTAGAAAAACACGAAGCTACCTGCATTTTCCACAGACGCGTGAAACCGAAACCGAGATGTGTGATGTAAACTGTCAGGATTGTTTTGAACTTTTAAACTGGTCCAACTGTCACGGCTTTGGAGAGCCGTCAGTGGTTGTAGACAGACGGCTGGTTGTTTGCTAGCGCTGAGGTTTGGCTCAGGTAAGCCCTCCGTGGCCAAAACTCTCCACAGGTACTGATACAGGACAAAAACACTATATATGAGCATGTCTTTTTCTGGGCTGAGTTTCACCACTCGACCAGTAAACACAGCTCGAGTGCAGCTGTGCGTCACATGACACGTGGGGTCTCAGTCACGTGTCAGGCCTGTCTCTCGTTCACAACAACACCTCTGGGTTTGCAGACTAACATGCAGAAACATCAACTGTTTGGCTGCACATCATCTGAGCCAAATGTAACATCACTGATGAGTTTTGTGTCCCTAAACATGGAAACAACAGCATTTTTATCCAGAGCCTCATCGTTCCCGGGATCGTATGAGCATGACCCGTCACATCCCAGTCCGCCCCCGCTGCTACACAAACACAGAAGGTGCACATGGGTTTTTACTACGTGTGTGTTGTGTAAATAAATGTTTTTTCATTTGTTTATTTATTTGGGGTCTAAACATGTCTCCTTCCAGGTTTTTAGAGTGATTCTTTCATGTTTGTAACACCAAAGAATACATAATAGTTAGCATTTTATCTTCGTACTGTTTATTTTTGTTTAACATTAAAAGGTAAAACCAAGATTTTATTTTGAAATGAGTATTTAAATGTCATGTCTCATTCTTGCTTTAACTCATTCGCTGCCAGCGTTTCTAACAGTTTTTACTGTTTTTTTAAGAATGACAGAAGGTTGCGTGCTAGGATGATGTCGACGCCAAAACGACCAAAACAAAGTGCAGACTCACCTCTTACCCCCAAATTCCACTACCTCCGCTCCGCTCCGACACGAACGCCGGAGCAAAATCGGTCCCGTTGTAGTCAATCAGAGCAATTCCACTACTGCGGCCGTGCTCCGGCAGTGCGGCGCCGTGCGCCGCCCTCTGTTCCGGCGTCCGGCAAAAATAGGATTGCTTCTATTTTCGCCGGACGCCGGAGCACCTCCGCAGTAAATGGACAGAAATCACAACTGCCCAACAGGAAAAGGAGCAAGCACAACTTCCGTTTTTCACAATAAATCGATAAACAAAAGGCATTTTTTGTTTCATATGCACAGGTTTAACAACTTTTAACAACTATCAATGGCGGCTGAAGTTTAAATGCACAAAAGTAAGCCATAAATACAGTTTCCACTATCAAAGTAGTCACCCTTTGTTGATCCAAACACTGCTGATCTCTCAACACAAATGATGGGCAGATTAAACAGTTCATGCCGATGCTTCTCCCACACAACGGGTGTTTGGATCTAACTTCCGCGTTTATTGCTCGGACTGTATCGCAAGATCTCGAAAATCCCGCGCATGCTTGTTTGCCCCCCTCAGGTCTCCGCACCGGAGCGGAGCCGTTGTAGAGCGGGTACCAGTAAAAATTGAGTTCGGAAGCGAGCGGCTGCGGAAGGCGGGGGCGGAGCGGAGCGGAGGTAGTGGAATTTGGGGGTTACATCAGGAAGAATCTGTGCGTTTCGAGCGTTATCCGTTCTTTCATAATCCGTTGTTGACTTGTGATCGGCAGAAGCTTTTCCAGTTGGCGCCTCACTTTTTTTACAGCAGCAGCCCAAAATGATCTCCTAACACATGGATGTTCTGCTTCCTGATCACGTGACGTGTGATGTATGCTGATGAAGATCGGCTTTAGAGCTGAGGTGTTTGTTCTCACGGTGCGGGGGCTCTTCCAACGCCCACACAGAAAAAAAAATGCAAATGACGACTTTAATCATCATTGACAGTGAACGGTTGGATCAAAAATTATGACTTTAGTCGTCATTGGCAGTGAATGAGTTAACAAGAAAGTAGTTTGATAAGTTGTATTTTACCGTTTTCACTGAGTTTGCTGTTTCTGCTTAGTTTAATGAGGAAAATAAAACTCTAAAGTACTTTTATTCCTCCTAAAATAGTTGCTGGAAAAAAGCATTGATCAGGTACTGGTACCAAAACCAGGGATCGTAAGAGTGTTGGTATTAACCGGGTGATGGCCATTATACTGGTGAAACAATAGT